GGGGGAGGGGGACTTTTTGTCCCCGAGTTTGTGGCCGTAGGCTGCTGAGGAGGGGGGTCCTGGTTGCCAGCCCCCATCGAGCCCTGGGGATGGTGTGGGGCCGCAATTCCCGTGGGCCGCCAGCTGATCCCGTGCAGGGGCTGAAGCCAGGGAATCCCCTCCTGGAGGGGTCCCAGACCCGCCATGCCCCTTTTCTCCAGAGGGGTTTTCTCAATTTCAAAAGTCAGCACCTCTGAAAGAGCCGCAGAGGAAGAGGAGCGGGCTCCCCATCTCCAAACCCCATAATGGGGACACAGGGGTGGTCTGGAGGGCCCCCACGGGTGCCCAGGCCCATGAAGGGGGTATCATGGGAGGAGGCAATGGGAGCCTGGGGCACACCTTCCCCCGGAGAACGAGGGGGGGCTCATTCCCCCGGGGATGGGGCCTGGACCCAGCTGCTCCCCACGGGGCAGCAGCGCAGACCATGGGAGGGTGAGGGCTGAACGGGGCACCCGCTGCTGCCGGCCCCGCCGTCTGCCCCTCCCGCGCCTGCCTGTGGGGAGATGAGTGTTTTCATTAAAAAAAAATAAAATTAAATTTAAAAATTGAAAGCCACTGCTGTAATTTGCTGCAAAACTTGTTTTGGCCCTGGCCCATCAGCACTCCTGCTCCACGTATCCGGATCTCCTGCCAGCACAGCCTGACACTCCCGGCCTCAGCATCAAGGGTTTCTCTGCCAGTTTGTGCTCCGCCAGCATTGGGCAGCCCACTCTGTCCTACTTGCTCCCGGCTGAGGCTGGCCCAGCAGGCCCCCTTCTGCCCTGCTGGGGCAAATCCTGCTCTCTGTGTCTTCAGTGTGCCCGTGGTTTAGTGCCCACAGGATCCCACAAGACAGCCCGCTCTGGGGCATCCCCCATGCGATACAAATGCACTGGCATAGCAACTCGTGCCCATGCACTCAGGTACACCTCCTCACTCACCGCCATACGTATCATCCCATCCACGTCCATGTCCTCACACACACCCTCACTCACGCGGCCTCAGCCCCGCAAAGACACACACACGCTCACAAACACCCTGCCGAGCTCACAGGCACCCATGCTGCCGCACGGTCCCACACATTCACTTGCACATGCATCTACATTTGTGCGCACTTATTCACATCCACCCCCCTCCCCCCCCGTTCTCACAGACACTTAGAACCCTCCCTGCACCCACACAAATTCACACGGACGTATTCTCGCTCACACCTTCACAACTGCATGCATTCACACACGCACATTCACTCCCACAACGTGCATCAACGCCCCGTACCTGTGCGTTCAGACACCCCCAGCCACACACATGCACACACACTGACACACCGGCGCTCGTGGGTTCCTCCCACCCTCACCCCAGCCACAACCCTGCTGTGACACCCCAAGACCCACCACTATCGCCGTACCCACCACCATGGCCCCACGCCGGACAGGCTGGGGGGGCACAGCGGGCAGCAGCGGCTCACGGCCGCCCTCAGCCCCATGCCCAGCGGGTGCCCGGCCAGCCTGCTCCCCCACCGCCGCCCAGCCCTGCCTGCCCGCCGGGGTCGGGTTTCCCCCCTCCCCGTACCTGCCTCAGTTCTTGACTTCTGAACTCTTCAGGGAACTCGCTGGCGCCAGCTCCATCAACCAAAGTCCTTGTGGTTAGGAGGAGCTGGGAGGGGAGGGAGGGAGGGAGCGAGGGCTGCGGCCAGCCAGGGTGGGAGGCTGCCCTCAGGCAGGGGGTCTTCTCGTCCCCCAGGGCTGCAGCTCCCTTTGCCCTTCTCCAGGACCACCTCTGGGCCTCTTCTCCAGCCCCTTCCCACACGGGGAACAAGGGGCAGAGCCTGCTCACCAGCCCTGAGCACGTCAGGTTGCCTCTGCAGGCAAGTGACAGAGCATGACATAGCAGCCCCACGTAGTGCCACGGGGTCCCTTGCCAGCGAGCTGTGACATCCAGAGGGACTCCATCTCTGCTGCCAAGACCCATGAGGTGCCCTCTTTCCAATAAATAACGCAGCCATCTCATGCTGCTTGCACATCCCGAAGGTGCCGGTCGATGCTGGGCAAAGCCTTCGGCCTTCCCTGCGCCAGAGATCCCCCAGACTGAGCAGATGCCGAGGGCCCCGGAGGGACTGGCCCCAAGAAATCACAAGGTCACCACCAGTGAGACAGGCTGGCTAATGAGGGTCTCAGCCCCCAGCTGCCCAAGGTAGGGGCTTTCAGGCAATAAAACCTGCCAGGAGAGAGACTAAAGGTAAGTCAGGTCTTTCTCTGCCCAGCACCCAGTGAGGACAAAGGAGAAGGGTAGGCAGGGCTAGGTCCCGACTGGGATTCAAGACTCCTGGAAGTCAACAGAAATTATTGATGGGTTTTGGGATGATGCACAGCCCCAGGATTTAATCCCTGCACAAGCCACAGACCTCGCCTGCAGCCTTGGGAAAGCCACACAGCTCCTGGCATTGGAAGTTTGGGCGCTGCAACGTCTAAGCTCCAGGACGATACCCAGTTCAGATGCTCCAGTTCAAATTGCTCCGGGCCTCGGTTTCCCCTTGGGCTCTCTGGGGCTGGGGCCTGAGCAGCGCTGTAGAGCACGAGGCTCTGGAAATACCCTGTCTCAGGAGAGCTGGCAATTAATTTATAGCCTTTACATCCAACTCCCTAATTCTGGGGCTAAAGAGGACTTTAGTCCTCTAAGAGGACATGCAGTGCTGCAAGTTCACACACCAGGACACATAAGGGCCAGTCTCAGTGCTTTCAGGTTCACATCCCAATGGGAGAGTTTACAAGGTCAGCATCCACTTCAAGGTGTATCCAATGATCCTACAAACGGATCCCTGGGGCGGCGGGCAGAGGCGCCCCAGGCCAGCCGGCCCTGCCTGGCTGGTCCTGCGAGGCAGATCCCCAGCCACCATCCTCCCACCTGCCGAGGGCTGGATTTGTCCACCTTGGCTAGGGATGTCAAGCCCTGCGAAAAAATAATCCAGAAATCATACTCTAAGCAGAGCCCCGGGAGACAGCCATTCTCAGGTATTTGCCCAAAGATATTTAGGGCAGTGGGGTTTCCTTTCTGGCCAGAGAAATCATTTTCTGCAGGAAACATCAACAAGCTGGATCAGCCCTCTTCGGAGATGGAAGGAAGCCTCCAATGCAGGAGCTAACATGTGCACTAAGTTGCTGCAAAATCAGTGCGTTGAAGAGCCTAACGCCCTTGCTCTCTACTTCTCCAGAACGTCTCACCCCCTTCAAGCACCCACAGCCACTTACATATTCCTGCCAGCCTTGAAACTTGTGTCCCCCCTCGCCTGCCCTGAGCAGCTGCTGGGACAGGCTCATTTCCAAAGCGGTGGTTCAATCCTGCCCCAGCTGAGGGCTCAGTATATCCATGCTAGGAGATGGCAATGCAGACGAGGGCCCTTCCCGTGCTGCATAAGGCTCCTCTCTCCCTCCCCACGAAGGCCTGGGGATCCTTTCTTAGGTTCTCTCATTGATCCAGTGCATCTGCCTCGTACTAGCAGAGAGGGGCAGCCCCACCAGGGCCTGACCTCCACCCTCCACTCCCATTTTCTTCTGCCTTGCTGGCTTTCCAGGGCTCCCCTTAGCCACTGAGCTCTTCTACAGCTCGGGGCTCCCGGGAGCTCGGCATCGCAAGCTGCCTCCCAGCCTCACAGCTGCTGGCCGGGAAACTGCCGAGAAATACAAGCCCTCCTGCGGGGACTGGGACAAAAGTGGCATGTCTGGGACCTTGGCAGGGTCCCAGCAAAACGCACCAGGCTTGCTCCGAAACCTGCACTTCGAGCAGTGCTTTCTGGAACCTGTAAAATCCTCTTGTTTTCCTAAAAGGAGAACGAGTGACTCCGCCGCAGGCAGGTGCACGGTGACAAATGCACCCACACCCCATCAGCAGAAGGGTGCACCCCGACTCCTTCCCTTCCTCGCCTCTTAATTCGTTTAATTCGCTGGGCTGGGGGCCTCCCCCAGCCCCGGGGTGATTATTCCCCCCTCCGCACATCCCCGCAGCTCTTTCTCTCCCGCCCCGACCCCTGTGAAATCAATTACGGCGGAGGAGCCGGGGCCGGTACGGGGCCATGTGGGCCCGGGAGCTCG